GTGATGGGGAGTATTTTGAGGAGATTTAATGGCGATATGTCTTTTTTATTGAAAGGAAACTTTACATTTATTTTTACCACATCTCATGTTTTTCTGTCTGTCTGTCTGTCTATCTAGTGTTATCAAATAATCTCCCAACTGCTCCCCTCTTGGTGAGACTAACCCTAACCAAAACGAGGGTCAGAGTACCAAATGGAGAGAAACAGGTTTGTACCAGCAGGGACAAAGTGGCTTCCCATCTCTCTCTCACACTAAGTCAAGTACCTTCACCATCTCATTTCAAGGGAAGGGTGCAAACTCCATTGTGTATTTCTGTTGCTTACCCTTAAATTCCTTATTATTTTTTGGAAATTAAGTGTCTTTATAAAGATTTAGCTATAAAAATCTTCACAGTACTATTTATAATAAAAAATTATCAACCTGAATATTCAGCAACTAGAAATGGATTAAACTATTTATTTTTTCCTACAATAGAACAGCTTTTTAAAATTTTTATGTATTATTTGACAGAAACTGTTATAATCTTTTGATTTGTATATTGTGAACAGTATGACACTTCTTCCAATAAAAATATATTTTCACAGAAAGATCGACATTTTAGCATCAGTTCTCAAAGTGAACCATGAGTTGGTAGCATTGTGAATATCATTTTCTTTCTTCTTATCTGTATTTTCAAATTCATTTACAAGAAAAATAAATCATTCCTAGAGTTAGGAATATAAACCCAGAAGCTTTTTTAAAGCATCCACTAAGTCTACCGCCTTTTTTTCTTTATGTCTTTACTTTCATGGTATCATAGGTATTTGCATGTTTATCTTTCAATCTACCTTGAGAGACACAAGTCTAAACACATCTGGGAAAATAAATGATGCCTTCTGCAACCCTTAATTTGCACATCCAGTGGAAATCCCTGCTGCGACGTTTTCCTCCTACTCCATCTTCTGCCCTGGGAGGCAAAGCCGTAAATCATGTCCACTAACAAGGCAGCACTTGGGGCCACCAGCATCATCTGGATGTGCAGGGAATGTGGAGGGGCCATTGCCAACTTCCTCACATGGGGGACCCTGATGATTCTTTCATGACTCTTTTCCTGACGAGACACAGTCACTTAAGATTCCCGAATGTTCTCAAGAAGTCAACCCCTGCTCCCATAGTCTGTGTTACAAAATTTATCTCCATTTTTACAAAAAGAAAGAGCTTCAAAGAAAAAGGAAAAATGAGAAAAGGGGGAAGAGAAAACAGAGAACTCTTTCTTGTACATAGTGAAAATGGTTTACACATTTTCTACATGACTTTTATCCCACTTGGAGAATAACAAATCCTCTAAGATTTAATGCCGAAAAGGTCTAATATCCTACAGTCTGAAAAACAGGGTAAAAGCAAAAACTTTCATATGAATTGTAGGCATCAGCAGGACTGGATTAGCTGACACAGCTAACTAGGTGAGCATGGGCCCTGACATTATGAGATCTAGGATGAAATGCTGACTCTTCCATTACTAGCTGATAACATGGATAAGGCCAAGATGATATAAGTTTTTGAAACCTTTACTTCTTCTTACGTAAAAACAGAGATGATCCTTATCAAGGATCAACAAATGAAATGACTGGAAGTTTTGCGGTCAATTTGATAAATTGCTTATGTCGTTTGGTCTCCTAAGGCCCCTTTCCTATAAAGTCATGCCAACTGCTGCCATCAAAAGGTTCAACTCAGAGGACAGTAGAGCTGTCCACAGGACAGTGAACTCGTAAGACCAGTGAACGCCGGGTAGGAGAGACAGTGGACTCTGATAAATTCTGCAGACACAGTTTGAATTTAAGGTGCCCAATGAGCACGGGTGCCAGAAAGTCAGGGACACACATGGACCTATGGATCTGGGGCTCAACCGGGAAACCAATTGGGTGAGTTATTTTCCCCATTCCTAACTGTTCATCAGAATCGACAGTGTTTCTAAGATTCCTAGAGTCCTAATTTAATCGTTCCAGGGAAAGGCCTGGGAGTCAATCTGTTATTTATTTTCACTTGACCAATATATTTAGGTCAAATATTTTTTTAAAATTCAACAAAATTTCATTTAAGTACTTGAATTCTTTTGTGCATGTGTTTTTTTAAGGTAAAGTTCACATAACATAAAATTAATCACTTAAAGTGAAAAATTCAGTGCCATTTGGTATCATCACAATGCTGCACAACCATCTCCTACACCCAGTTCCACATCATTTCATCATCCTCAAAGGGAAATTCTGTACCCATTAAGCAATCATGCCTCATTCCCATCCTCTGCTCTCTGGCTGTATGGATGTGTCTGTGGGGAATATTTCATATGAACCAAACCATACAAGATGTGGCCTTTTTTGTGACTAGTTTCTTTCACTAAATAGGCCTTCTAGGTTCATCAATGTTGCAGTATGTATCACTGTTTTACTTCTTTTTATGACTGAATAATATTCCATTCTATGGATATGCCACATTTTGTTTATCCATTTATGAACTGATGGGTTTTTGGCTTGTTTCTACCTTTTTGCTACTGCGAGCAATGCTATTATGAATATGCATGTCCAAATATTATATTGAATATTTGTTTCTAATTCTTTTGAGTATATACCTAGGAATGGAATTATTTGGTCATAGGGTACCTTATATTTAACTTTTTGGGAGAAATACTTGTTGTGAAGTTCTCCATATGATTCTATATGAAGCTTATATTGAGAATCACTAATGTATAAGATGGATAAAGCTGTAAGAACAGATGGAAATCATGTAAAGAGAAGACATGAAGTGGGAACATGAAAGGGCAAAAGTAAAACCTTGTGAAAACAAAATGCCAGAAGTTGTCAAAGCCTGTAAAGAACACGGTGAAATAGGGATGTCCACCAAAAGAGAACTCCTCGAGGGAGGAACCATCAATAGCAAACATTGGAAGGAAATGGGAATCAAAAAAGGAACTGAAAGAGAGTACTGCATATGGCAAGAGGAAAGGTCAGGTACACTGGCCTCGCCAAGGACCTCATTCCTAAGAACCGCAACATACATGAAATGCTAAGAAGTGAGACCCATACTATAATATACTCTGTTACTCACTATTTACATTTATGTGCAAAGACCACATCTTTTCCCTTTATTCTCTCATGACACCTAAGAATGTACAATGCAAACATCAAGCCCATAACCAAAATCTTGGATTGACCAGCTAACACTTTAAGAAACACTGTGTCAAAATCTCTGCCACCAATAACAGTAAACTGTGGGAGAGCATTAAGTGGTAACTATTTTACTGACTATATATTATGATCTTTCTAGGATTTTAACTACATGCAAAATATGAGTACAGCAATATATGATTAGAAAAACTATTTGATCTTCATTTCAGCAAAACACTTAATAAACTCTTACATTTTCCTCTTTCTACTGCCTAAAATGCTGCTTTAAAGTTATTTATCAATTTTTATACAACATTCACTGATCTATGAATCAATATTGATATGAAAATGTATAATTAGTTCATAGAAAAGTCATTTTTTTAAAGTATTTTTTCTTCTGTTATTAGAGAAAGGGGTAACTGTTACATTTTAAGTATGAAAAGTGATAAGGTCGAAGCCACACATTAAATTTAGTTTAAGTTTAAAAACTCAATGAGCAGTAAGTACATATAAAGTATATGAGTACTTTTCTTCTTTTTTTAAGTACATGTTGATTTGTTTTCATCTTAAGTATGAAATCAGCCAAGAAACATTTCTGAGAGCAGGAAAATAGTGTACCATCCTAGATTCACTTTTTCAATTAATGTTTCTATTTTGTAGACAGTCACAGTATTTAATTTGAAGTTTCCTCTTTCTGTGCCAATGGCAGTTTGAACTTCTACTTGCAATGTCCTTAAGCACACAGCCTTGTGAGACACACAAAACACCAAGAAAGCAACCAAAGCAAGAAGGGAAAAAAGATGTTTTTCTTTAGTATCAAGCACCTGGCAAGAAAAGAGCATGTTTCTGTAAAGCCTGAAGGCATTCTTGGCTTTCTGTTGAGAATCCAAACGGATGCATTTTGATTCCCCTTTGAAAACTTTATAAAGTTTTAGCATGTGTGCTTTGAATTATAGTTCATGAGATTTTCCTATATTCTTTCTTGTCGCTGGTGCTGCTGTTCATTTCTGTCCACCAATAAGGAGGGAAGCTCCTTGACCAACATGGTGGTTGGTGAGGAGTGACTACTCACCATGACTGGTGGCCCTGAGATGGTACAATGACAACCTTCAGTGTTGAGGAATTCATAAAAACCCAGGTCCCACCCACTCAGAAATTTTATATCATATTCAGCACACAGGGAAAAATATGAAGGAAAAAAGAATTTTCCCACCACTCTCCCTTCTTGCTATGTGCATGTTCTTGGTCTTTGGTGGCCATTCATTTCTGTAGTAACTAATTTTCTTTATAATTCTGTCTGACTTTCAAATCTGTATCAGAACTGGAGCCAATGGTCAATAGAATGTAACAATGTCCTAATAAAACCTTCTCAGACTCCATGAAGAACCAACTGAGACTTCTGGTTGGAACCTAACACAAAAACTGAGACCCAATCAAAGTTCTTCCTTGATGGAAAAGAAATGCCCACGAGCCATCAGGAAAGAAGCATCAGAGACCTCAAGTCGTGGAAGCTGAGCTCAGATGCCCAGGACACATTGCCACACAGGTACCCTGGTACCTTCTCACTTTAGCTTGAGGCTGTTTTCAATCTACTTCCCATTGTGAATACTGAAGGAAGCCCTGCCTCCAATTTATTTTGTCTCCCAAAAGACAGCAAACAAAACAAACATGTAAAAGCTGCAAGTGCCTTCTGCAAAATCTGTGAAGCACCAGGCAAAAATAAATTTCTATTTTTGTTTAGAGCTTCTTTTTAAAATACAAAACTTGAAGCCAAGAATTCTCACGCATCAATCTCTTTCACAGAAGCACGGACCACAGGTGTGTCAGGCACAGACATCTCCACAGCCCACACCATCCCACCTGCAGCATATGACCGCTTTACAGGAGAGCGCCAAGTCCAGGAAGCTCCTGCGGACCTCAAAAGACAGCGCATACTTCAGGGTGTGGCCATCGATGATGAGAGCCACGTCGTTTTCCTTGCCCAGCAGATTCCCGAGGTCAGTGCAGTGCTGGGTGATGGCTGCTCTTGTTGCCTGAAACAAGAGCAGAGGGAGGAGCATGGTTTTGTGTGATTACTTTATCAAACTCGTATCCAAATCCCACGTAGTTGCTTGAAGTGATAACATGACCATTTTAAGTTAAAATAGGTAAACAGTTAAATTCGGTGCACTCATGCATTACAAGTCACTGGAATGCTGCTGCAGCTGTTTTATGTGTAAAAACTTCCTCATTGTGAGACCCATTTGACATTCACAGTAATTGACTCTAGTTGGGGTCCACGGTCATGGTCCACGGCTGATTTAGTGTCCCCAACTCTTCTCCACTGGAACGTTAACTGCTAAGGATCTACAGACTGCCTTCTCCCTTCTTTTCCACTACACACACGCACACACACACACACACATTTTGCTTCCTCTGAAATAGGGAACATAAGGTCCTTTTTGGGAAAATGTAGTGTTAGGGAACTTGAATGGCAAGCACTAGCTTGTCTTTAGTTTGCATAGGGTAATTTTTAAAGCATCCAAAGCATCAAGAGATATAAAAACAACACGAAGGGGATTCATTTCTATTCCTCCTGAGATCTTCAGATTACAGCATTCTCTCCATTTATGATCAGAACAAGAAAGGACCTGATCAACTGCACATGTTACAGAAAATATCTAATCAAACTAAGCTGCCAGAATGTACCAAGACACTGCTATCAGCTTAAGCAAATACCTTGGTATGGTATCTATTGTCACATGGAATTAAACCATAACAACACTCAAGGATTAAGATAAAACGATATTTGCATCTTCCCTAGGCATGTTTAACTATAAATAGGATATCTGGCTCAAATATAAGAATTTAATTTTGGCTCATAAAAAACCCAAATTTATGCTATCAAGAAGCACAAAAGTCCACTGAAATTATTGTCTAGATGATTGTCCTTTGGTTATTAAGTTACATTTATATACAGTTTATCAAATGATTACATGAACTGTGGTCTTAAAGCAATGTGTTTAATGAACAAAAGTCTTCCTTTACTTAAAATGAAGCTGAGGTGCTCTTGAAAAGTGAAAAACAGGTTCCATCATTTACTGCTCAGTTTTCTTTCTCAACAAGAAACGTTTGACAACAATTAGGCACAATTAAGAAGGATGTGGTCTAGAGCCCTGTACTGTAGCCAGAAAACCTAAGGTCTAGTCCTAACTTTCCACTTACTACCCCTATGATCTTGGGCAAGTTCCTTAGCCTCTTAACATAAACTGCAATCTTCTAATGTGTAAATGGGGCTAAAAACACTTCATAGCATTTTTGTTATGAACAAATGAACTAATCAGTGTCAAATGCTTAGGACCGGGCCTGGCACACAATAAACACTCAATAACATTCATGCTTTTCTCTCTTACTATCTATGCATTAAGAATCTCCTATATTAACTGGATGTGGTGGTGTACGCCTGTAATCTCAACACTCCAGGAGGCTGAGGCAGGAAGATCACAAGTTTGAGCTTAGCCTGGGAAACTTAGTGATTTAGTGAGACCCTGTCTCATAATGAAAAATTAAAAAGGCTGGAAATGCAGCTCAGTGAGAAGGTCGTAGGTACAGTAGTATACTACAAAAAGAAAGGAGGGAAGGAAGGAAGGAAAAAATAATTTCCTGTATTAAAGAAAATTCACATACATTCTACTTCTATGTAGCAGAATGAATTCCATCACTGACAATGTTTCTTTGTAGATGTAATAATAGATGAATAATTAATAGAACAAAATGAATTATGAGTAAAAGTTAAGTTGGCTTTTATTAAAAATGAAGATGTTTACAGTTCTTATTCGTACTTATGTAGTTATAAATATCAGACAAACATCCTGAAAACATCTAGGCTTATCAATGAAAACTTCCTGCCTTTTAAAATTTGGAGAAAAGAAATTCTTCCCACTTAGTATCTGTCTCACTGGGAACTCAGGTCTGGACAACTCTGCTAGGGGCCAATGAGTTGAGGAAAGAAAAATCTCCTGAGAAATGTGTCATTAAGGGGTGGAACTGGGGAGGCAGATTTGGTTCACAGACCACCCTGATGCTGTAACAGCACTTGGTGTAGGCCAGTGCTTTTCACCCTTGTTTACCTCCCTCATGAGCTTAAGCCTGGATTCAGTGGGGAAAAAGTCGAGGAATAAAAGACCCTGAGATAGAGATCATGCCCGTGTTTCCTTGTGGTTCTTGTTGTTATATTTTTTAAAGCACGTATAGCATGAGTGGAGACCCACAGTCATATCTGAAAGATCATCTCTACTGGGGATAGTTCAGTAACATGCACTAGGATAGACTGTATTCTGGGGGTCCCTGAGCATCAGAAATAGGGTGGTTTTAATGTGTCCCCAAAGTTCCTGTGTTGGAAACTTCACCCCCAATATAGCATCACTGAGAGGTGGGGCCTAGGAAAGGTGATTAAGGCACCAGGGCTCTGCCCTCATGGAGGGCTAATACCATTATCTCTGGAGTAGGTGTGTGATAAAACCAGGTTCAGGCTTTCCCTGCTTGGTGAACTGGCTCTCTCTTCCCTCATCCTACCCTTCTTCCACGGGATGACACAGCACCAATGCCCTTCCCAGATGGATTCCCTCATCTTGGACATCCCAGCCTCCAGAACTGTAAGCCAAATTAACTCCCATTGCTTGTAAATCACCTAGTTTGTGGTATTCCGTTACAGTAGCACAAAACCAATGAAGACGCAAAGACTGAGAAAGTTTCCTGAGATGTACAGAATCCCCTCCCCTACAAATGTAGGAAGAGCCCAAAAGGCAGCTAGATTTTTAAGCAGGGGCATGGGGATGGACACAGGGAAACATTTGTGGCCACTCTTTCTGAGAGCCTCCTACCATCTCATTGCCCGTCACAGCCTGGGAAACCAAGGTCACACTAAGTTGAGTTTTCAAGTTGAGCCACAAAGTGTGCTATGTGAGCCTCCCCTCCATTCTTATGTTGAAACCCTAACCCCCAGTGTGTCGGCATTAGAACATATGGTCTTTGGGAGGTGTTTAGGTTATGAAGGCGGAGCCCTCGTGGTGAGATTAGCGTCCTTAGGAGAAACAGGAAAGGTTCCTCTCTCCTTTTCTGCTTCTCTCTTTCTCCCACTATGTGAGGACACAGCAAGAAGACAGCCATCTGCCAAAGCATGACCTCACTTTGATCTTGAGGTCCCAATGCTCAAAACCACGGAGAATAAATTTCTGTTGTTGAAGCTACAGAGTCATTGATATTTTGCTATAACAGCTGGAGGGAAGGCAAAAGGCAACCATTTGAGTCCCTGGCAATACAGCACTATTCTTGTTATCACGACTCTTAGATAAAAGGACGTGGTTTGGGTCTACAGCAACAGAAAGCACACAGGGTGAACGCAATGCTTTCTATCATGTTCGGTGTCTGGAATAAGTTTCTAACATGATGTAGTAACTGCTGGTACAGATGCACACAGAGCACCAAATGGAAATGTGGGAGAAGGCTGCTGTCTAAATCTGGTTTGTGCTACTATCACAGAATCCCTGAATCTGGGCCATTTATAATGTACAGAAATTTGTTGACATGGTTCTGGAAGCTGGGAACTCCAAGATTAAGAAGCTACCATCTGGAGACCAGGGATTTAGCTCAGTGGTTCTGCTGCCTGCCTTGCAAGCACAAGGTCCCAAGTTAGATCCCTGGTACTTAAAAAAAAAAAAAAAAAAAAAAGGAAGCTACCATCTGGTGAGGGCCTTCCTGCTATGTCACCCATCAGTAGAAGGGCAAAGGGAGGGAAAGAGATATCAAACTTGAAGCTTTAAGTTCTTCTGTAATTGGCACTAATCCATTCATGTGGGTGGGGTCCTCATGACCTAATAACCTCCTATTAGGCCCTACTATCACTATCATTAGGGATTAGGAGTCCAGCACATAAGTTTTGGGGGACACACTCAGACCACAGCAGTCCCGCCAAGCACTAATGCACAGCAGCAGGAGGCAAGACAAGGCATGTGGGCGTGAGTGGTACCCCAGGCATGAACTGCAATCCGTATGTATATAGTGGCCACCTGCTCCCCTTGCAATGAGAAAGCCAAACATTATTAAGTTACACTATAACAATAAAAAAAATTCACATTTCTATTCCATTGACCAGGGATTTTCTTAAATATGGAACATTAAGTTTTCTTAAGCAAAAAATTAAGCAGTCACATGTTAGTTCAACTAAATAGTTATATAAGTCCCACTTATTTTAATCAGCCAACTAAGATACAGCTATTGCAGTGAGCTTGCTCCAATGGTAATAAAACACCAAGCATATGTGTTTCATGTAGTCTACTCTCATAAATCTTACAATACAATCAAAGTGACAAATATACAAAATTAAAGATGAAATAAGGCAAACTTAATACTCTTCTATGAGCAGATTCTAGACATCACCACCTTTATAGCCTAGCCTGCTTTGGCTCATTTTTGTGGTTGGCTGGAATTATACTAAGGTGTAAATCTGAAGACAGAAACTCCCTTTGCCAACCTCTGATCGTGCTAACCCATGTCAGGTGCTCCGTAAATATGTTGGACTCACATATGAATCAATTTAAGTCTTGGTTCTAAACATTTCCTTATAATATCTAGGAGAGATCACTGATGGGTTTGAGGGCCATCTCTAACTTCCTTGTAGAAGTCCACCTTCCCAGTTCAACTGGTTCTCAATTCTTATTTCAGCTTATGTCTTGGCCTTTTCGTCTTCAGCTTCCTCTACTCCTACCTTACTTTCCACTCCAATCTTTCCTCACTCGATCTGCTCAAAATCCCACTTTTTCCTGGGAGATTGAAAGCCTTTGCTACTACTAAACCCTCTGCAGATCCATCCTTCCAACTTCTCCCTTGACTTGTCTCCAGCCTCTACTTTGGCTTTAATTCCTGCACTTTCTATGCCACTCAGCAATAATCTTTGATCAAACCCAGACGAGCTGGGCTCACCACATGCATGTGGAGGAATATAGGTCCCTTCTGTGCAGTTCTCACACCAGCTGATGGAAGGTATTACTATCAC